TAGCCTGCCGTATAGAATTTCGTGGATTTTGTTCGAAATACTGTAACAGTCTAGCTGTATTAACATTGTTTCTTACCCTTCGGTCAATTATTTGATTTTTCCGAACAGAAAATGCATCTTCATTTCGTCGCAAGGTCGCCCCCAATCTTGTAAAGGTTCTATGATCAGGAATGAGGAGCTCTGGATACCTTTGTCGATATAACTCAACAACTCTCCTTGAATTTGTTTGTGACTCGCCGTAAATTAGCAACATATCAACCTTTTCTGAATGAGAAAACATTTTGTAAGCATAAAAGTTATACCTTTGACGTTCGTATTGAGTAATGACAAGTATTTTGTGACATTTATGCACTTTAAACAACGAACATTCAATTATTTTCCAACGACTACTTTATCTTTCCACCGCTAATGTGATTTTTATGTGGTATTTATTTTGAGACTCCTAAGGACGATATTACTTATAACTTCTAATCGGGAAGTGATACAGAAAAATTTCTCTAATAAAAGTTTATTAGTACAAAGAGAGCTTTTTAATAGGAAAATTTGGTAATGTTTCTGGAAAAATATAATTGATGACGTCATTAGTCGTTTCTGTCAAATCCCAAACATAATAGTTTCGATTGAAAATGGAGCTTACCTCATCCCATTTAACACCACGTGTCCCAAATTTTATTTAAATTTTTTGTATCTCAGTAGGCCCATACTATCGAGTTTGAAACCGCCTGTACATCTACACGGAGAAATAGTTTTCTTATTTTATACCACATTTTATAGTTACAGATTTATTGTCATTTGTACTTAGGGTAAATAAAATTCTCCGCACAATTTGACTTTTTCTAAGTCGTATAATTTAAATTTCTCGGTTTGATAGCATCATCAGTGGTTCCCTCTGGTGACTCGAATGTTAATAATTTTCTGTTGAACAGATAAGCTTTACTACCGACTGACGCAACGCCCTCTAACGATTCATATTATGTTTGTTTATTATTAATTTTATAATCGTTATTTCCATGGTGACCTTGTATGCGCTTCCTATCTTTCTTCTACGTCTCTGACAAATTCCAAAGGCATTAAATCCAGAGGTAGCCTTTAGCAATGTCACCGTGTGCTATAATCTGATATTTTTATTCCAAATCATACAGTAGGCGCCTAAAGTATGGAATAAATTCAGTAAAATCGAAACAAATTTTTTTTGGGAAAAATCCTCGAACAGGTCGATTTTTAATTTAAAAAATACATATTTTAGCATAAAAGGCGATTTTCAACCGTCATTTGTTTTCGAGTAATGACGTCATCGACATTTTTTTTAAATAGCAACCCCCTATTTTTTTTCTTGATTCTGAAAGATCGTTTCATTGTCGATCCGACAGTATTAAAATGTTGCCATCTTACATAGGAAAGTTTTCGAGTAAATGACGATTGAATGTTAGAAAACCCAAATCAATTAAAATAAAGCAAAAACGTTATCAAATTTAGTTTTTCGAAATGCCTGAAGTTTTTTATGGATCACGTAGGTGTAAATCTTTACAAAGTGTCACTGTCATACCGACTTTCTAAGTATTGTAAGCGATATAAAAATTATTGTTGAATTTAAAGTATTATGGCACATTTAACTGTCACACAAAGAATTGAAATTTTAATTCTTATCGGATGCGGGGATAAGACTAGAACGCAGCAGGAAGTTTGCGATTTATTTAATGAAAAACATCCAGATCGCCGTATCAGCCAATCAACAGTCAGTAAGATAGAATCTAAATTTAGAGAAACTGGCAATGTTGTAGATATTCCAAAACCTGGACGTCCAAGCGTTAGTGAAGATCACAAACAGAACATTTTGATAAGTATGGTAGATAATCCTCATAATACTTCACGATTGGTTGCATTAAACAATGAAATTAGTCAGACCACAGTGCTACGTATCCTGAGGCAGGAAAAATATCATCCCTACAAAATTCAACTTGTGCAGGAACTCAATGAAGACGATCCCGACCGCCGCTTACACTTTTGTGAAATTATGATGGATTTATGACAAGTAAATAGAGATTTACACCGGCAAATACTTTTTTCAGACGAGACCACGTTTTGTTTCAATGGTACAGTGAACCGTCGAACTTGTAGGTATTGGAATCGGGAAAATCCTCATTGGATGGCAGAGACACATACCCAACACCCACAGAAATTAAATGTATGGACTGGAATAGTTGACAACAAAATAGTAGGGCCTTTCTTCTTTGAAGGAACCCTTACAGGAGAAAGATATTTAGTTTTTACAAAATGACCATGTTCCAGCGCTTGCAGTAATTTTTCCTAACGATAATGACTCTGACATTCCTGATGACACCATATGGTTTGAGCAAGACGGTGCACCTCCGCACTATGCACGCTCTGTTCGAGATTTTCTGGACAATTGCTTTCCTAGGAGGTGGATCGGCAGACGAGGACCGATGGAATGGCCCGCGAGATCCCCAGATCTTACACCTCTGGACTATTTCTTATGCGGCTACTTAAAGTCCAAAGTGTATGTTAATAGACCACATAATTGTAGAACTCCAAAATTGTATTATAGATGAAATACACAGTTACCCCAGAAATAATTCATAATATGCAAGAAGAATTTCTACATAGACTTGCGTATTGTCAAGAAGTCGGTGGATGGCAATTCGAACACTTAATTTAGGTAGAAAACTTAATGAATTGTGTTTACTTGACATAGGAATTGTTAGTTTTTTAATGAATAAAATTTACGTTTTCTAACATTCAATCGTCATTTACTCGAAAACTTTCCTATGTAAGATGGCAACATTTTAATACTGTCGGATCGACAATGAAACGATGTTTCAGAGTCAAGAAAAAAAATAGGGGGTTGCTATTTAAAAAAAATGACGATGACGTTATTACTCGAAAACAAATGACGGTTGAAAATCATCTTTTATGCTAAAATATGTATTTTTTTAATTAAAAATCGACCGGTTCGAGGATTTTTCCCAAAAAAAATTTGTTTCATTTTTACTGAATTTATTCCATACTTTAGGCGCGTACTGTATATTCCAAATATCCGATTTTCTTTGACGGAAAATACTTTGATGTTTTCAAGAAGCACACTAATTCCATTCAGCTGTCTTATTGACTTATGACGTATTTCACAATTCTCTCGTTTCTAACAGAACTCGACAGCTTGGAGGTACATTTAAAGCAAGAGCTTTACAGTCTTCCATTCAAACCTACACCTACTTTGATTTCGCTGCTATTCTTGTCCAAAATCGAATTGTTTGGATTGATCAGGCTGGTAAACGAAACGGCTAAGTAATCCTTGAGAGGTGGGCGATTAAAACTTTATGCGGGCAATTTTGGAACCTTGAAAATATGTAGCGGGCCAGTACAGAACAGATAATTGAATACGAAGCTTCAGTATCAAATAAACTAATAGGGGCACTGATCTTAGTAATCAGTAGTTCCAAAAAATAAGGTGAATTAGCATACATTTATTTGTTGTAGGTTGGTAGTACTGTCGTTGATATTTATGTAGAGTTTCAAGCTTAAATATTCAATTGCTACAGGGCTACTCGTGTTTTTGTAAGGATCAAACTTATGTGTTAATTTTTATAGAGACAGCCCTTTGGTGTAAAAATTATCTTTTATTCGAAATATTTGAAATTATTCAATTTTCGTGGCTGAAAACATACATAGGTATTGAATATTCGTAACCCAGAGAGTTGCACTAACCAAATTTGGACAGGACATAGCTACTACAATGCGAAACGTCGCCCCTATTAAAAATGCTGTCACCGCCGTTCTTGATGGTGAAAATTTTGTAACTAGGCGTAACATTTGAGAGGCTCAGCTGATATTTTTAATTATATTTCTTTTATCTTCGACTTTTTGATATTTTTGATATCAAAATTGGAAACTTCAGAGTATTCTAAATTAAAGAGGTCCTCTTGTCTTGGGTGGCTAGGGTGTACTAAATACGAGAAAAATCTATTTGAAATGTTTGTGTTTTTTGCACGATAATTGCAAAATGACAAATTCTTTGATAATATTTAGCAGTTGGCTTTTAAATTCTAACTTTTTTATAGAATTTTACTTAATGTTGATATTCTGCGCATTCATAACAACTGCACAAAGTCAGCATTTTATAATCCCTATTCAGGCTGTTTCTAAATAAAGTAGCAAAAATGATACCAGTGAATGTAGAGACAAAAATAATAGGATTAAAGTAAAAATACCTTATATGAAAGTTGCATACCCTCTTGAAGGAGGGGATTGAAATTCAGATTTTAATTTTTTTCTTTAACATGAGGAATGCTAGAGACACGAAACTTGGTATGAGCATCCTACTAATAAAGAGACAACTTTTCAATATTTGTTCGATCATTGGCGTATTTTATAAAGGAGTGAAACAGTCAACCCCATTGCAATATTTTATTAGTAATTCTTTATAAGAAGCCAATTATTTCTTTAAAAATATTTTTTGGGAAGACTGATTTATTGCGCAACTTTTTTACATCTTGTAATTTTTCTATAAAATTGATAGTTTTCTAGTAAAAAACTTAGATGCGTCATCGTTTACTAAAGGGATAATTGCCAAAATTTGTAAAAATAAAGTAGGCGTAGTAGTTTTATTTGTAATTTTGTTTTTTATGGGGTTTTTAAACCTGAATGGCCCGTAACTGCCCCCGATTGCCCTATATTCCGGTTAAAAACTTTACGTTTCTCTTTAAAAGTCGTCGTATAAATAGAGGAAGTAATCTCCTAAACGATTTAGTAATGAAACATGTAATTTTAAACGCAAAAAACGTACCGAACTTTTTTTTTTACAACTTTGTGGACAGTTTTTGTAACGAGAAAAGCTAATCATACTAAACGAACTTCAAAGGCATTGGAAACCCGATAGCTTAGTTCTGCCAGTACGTGAAAGGGTAAAGCTCAATGCTCATTTATTTGTGTAACATATAATGAAGTAATACCTTGACTGAATTCTTGTTATTTATATCTTTTAGGAGCTTTCAATTATACATGGTCTGACAGTCACAGATACCAAACAGTATTCCGATTACATCCCAGAGTACATCGAACAGATGGAGAACATTGTAGCAGATACATATCAGAAGACCAGGGGTGAGTAGAACTATTAGATCGGCTTGAATTTTATTAGAAATATCTTCTATCTAACAAAATAGATGATGTAAATATGAATGCTTGAAAAGTTGCTTGAGATATAGAAACAAGTAGACGCTTTTCCGCGAGCTTTTCTATGTTTGTACCCTAGAGTGTGTAGCTGAGAATTTTCGGTAGATCCATAATAAACCTAATAAATAATAACAATTAATAACATAATAAACTGAAAAGTGGCAGTAATAAAAAGTCTACTAATTTATAATAAACTTATTTATTTATATATTTATTAAAGAAAGTTTAACACCCTGTAACTTTCTTGCGACATTTCTCGTTTAAGCAAGTTTGGTTAAATCGACACCATTCGGGTTCTGGATTATACCCTTGAAGTATGTAACATTCATTAGATGACACCCTATAACAACCAGGTCAACATTATTTGCTACACTTATTGCGTCCGAAGGTACACACAATGTACAAATGATAAATGAAAATTGCAAATAGGCAATACGTCTTAGTAAGCTGCGGAAAACAGTGTGAGACATTTGCTTTATTTGACAGTCAAATCTTTCTTTTGTCTCGCACCCTTCATTTATCATTTTTTTGAGAGATATAAATAATGAACCCATTTGAGCATGTACCGCCTCTAAAATTATTATGTCCATACAATCTCCGATAAATTTCAACGAAATGAATTTAATCCTGCTAATGATGGGCTATAAATACAAGATTTTACTGTTTCCCGGCGAAGATAAAACATATTCAACGTTCCATGTTTTACAAGAGACTTTATTCGGCAATTTTGCTCTGCAGAGAGACATGCTTTATACGGGAATTTTATTGTGTGGCGTCAGTTTCCTGTTACCACCTTCACATATTACCCATATGTTTTCATGTGACAGAGGAACTGACTTTTTTCCAAACATCAGAACAGAAGTGAAAAATGTTACATTTTAATAAAGAAATCTGACAATACAATATTAAAATTTAATTTACAATATATTTGAAACAAAATCAATAGCCTATCGCGTCTGAACTCTTCTTCAATAAGTAATTATCGACTGTCACCTTGCGAGAAATAATTGTGATCGAGACACCGTAAAAAGACAAAGAGTGGAGATGGAAAGGGTCGATAAATGCGAAGAAAGTAATTTTCCACAATAAGGATGGAAAAATATACATATATAGAACTCAAAGTGAATTGTTTTGTGTTAGGTTTTACAAACATCTCTAAATTCAATGAATAATTTCAATGTGATCACTTTTAAAAGAGTGCCTTGTGTTATTTTCAATTATTTTCATGTTGTTTCTTGAATTACCGAGTCTTCTTTTTAGGAGCTATTCACCTAGAAAATAAAACAAATTTACAGAACTTTTGACACATTGGTTATAGTTTTACAGAAGTCAGTTGAACATGTATAAAAATGCCTAGCAATAAAAATTAATGAGTTCCATAGACGTCCCTAAAAAATGTTTCTGCTAAAGGTAAAAAATAATAATTTGTAATTAAAAATAATCAACAATAAAATAATTCCGCATTGCTGCACTATCAACAACTGAAATTTATGGTCGGTCGCTCAGTGCGGCTGTGTTTGTGCGCCGTTTGCCCGCGCATTCTTCTACTGGACGTATACAGGCGAGTCAAATATTACACAATAAGTCCTGAATTGCAAAAACATTGTTGTTAAAATGAAAATTTTGCGAAACGGCTCTAGGATATGATTGTTGAAAATGATTACTTTTGATTAAAATATATGCACACAAATTCCATGATCCAGTGGAATTCCCTTGCAACAACATGTTTTATTAAACTCCACAAACTTTCTTCAACAAAACCGTCTATTCGTACTTTTCGGCATCGTCTAACTTAAAACCACCGCCGCCTGGGACTGAAGCTCGACACATCCAGTCCTTTCGTTGTTGCAGAGCCACCCTTGACCCAAATGTAAATCGCGATATGGGTCGCAGCCATTAAATATAAATCTGTCTAAACAACTATGAGGTGCAGGCGCCCGTTGGAATTGCTCTACATTGTTCAGTAATTCAGTTACGTTCAAGGAGGATGGAGTAAATGCGATTTTACTGCAATAAAGTGGCTAATCTATAAGACAGATTGGTCTAGCGGCGTAATATGTTGTAGAACTCGAACGTATGCTTTGAAGTTTAAGGGTTTTAAACTACGAATAGTTAAAAATAAGTAAAAGGAATCGAATAAATATTATAACGGCACCATTGACCTTGTAAACTATTCGAGTGCACGACCTATGTTCTGCCAATACAGGCCGTTGTCGCACAGACGTGTGCGAGAAAGAGAGAGCTAGTGCGGGCAAAAGTCTAGGGTACAAACTGAATTGAATTCGATTTTTCTTCATTTACAGTCTGTTTGGAAATGAAAGAGAGTAATAAAACCCCGAGATAAGAACCGGCCATGGGCGTGCTAATATTTAGTTCCAGGTAATTATCGAGTAGCACTAATGCTAACAGGTAATGGGTATACATTAGTATATTTTACTGGATACATCATAGATTTCTTCAAAAATGTCATTCGCAGAAAAGTACACTCATTTTATTTTAAAAAATAAATACCAACGCTAAACAAAATTTTAAGTGAACTTTCAGAGGACAACGATTTGCCAAAAATCAGTAGAAGCAAATTATGGGCCGTCTTACGAGAGTTGAATTTTTGCTGGGAAAAGCAGAACAGGAAGTCAGTTCTTATCGATAAAGATGAAATTATTTGTTGGCGAAGATCCTACTTAAGATCAATTAGAAAATTCCGTGACGAAGGGAGGAATATTTATTATCTAGACGAAACTTGGGTCAACGAGGGATATACTGTAACAAAAGTATGGCAAGATAAAAATGTAAAAAGTTTTCGACAAGCATTTTTGGATGGACTTTCAACAGGGTTCAAGGCACCTTCAGGTAAAGGGCGAAGATTAATAGTGACACATATAGGTAGTGCCAGTGGTTTTGTAGATGGCGGTTTACTTTTATTTGAATCTAAAAATACAGGTGACTATCACGAAGACATGAACGCAGATGTTTTCGAAGAGTATTTTACACAGATGTTGGATCTTATTCCTCCGGGGTCTGTAATTGTCATGGATAATGCCAGTTACCATTCACGGCAGACCGAGCGGACGCCTACGACTGCTTGGAGGAAAGCCGATATAATTCAATGGTTATCCGGAAAAAACATTTCTTTTGAAACAAATATGGTGAAAAAGGAACTTTTGACACTTGTCAATCTTAATAAAGATCAGAAAAAATATGTTATCGATGAAATGGCAACAAATCGCCAAATAACGGTACTACGGTTACCACCTTATCACTGTGAACTTAACCCAATCGAATTAGTCTGGGCGCAGGTAAAAGGAGATGTAGCGCGAAATAATACGACGTTTAAATTAAGTGACGTGAAAATTTTGTTAAAAAATTCCTTGGAACGAGTAACTGCAGATAACTGGCAAAGATGTATACATCATGTACAAAAAGAAGAGGAGAAAATGTGGGAACTCGATAATTTAATTGACGTTACTGTGGAACCTATCGTTATCAATCTAGGAGACGAAGATAATTCATCAGAATATTCAGAGGATGAATTTTAATATACCTACTTTTTTATTTTCTTTATTGTACATTTATACAACACTACATTTACTCACCATAATTTGAATTTTCAAAATACATATATTTTTGTGTGGAATAAAAGTCTATTCATTAAATTTAAATAAATATTTTGATAATAATATTGAATAATTTTATTTGAATTACTAAAAACCCTCTTAACCCGGTTATGATGCTTAAAGTAGCCTCATGTTTTGAAATGCTGTTTTTATATTGTTTACTTATAAGAGAAATGGACCGAGAAATTGAAGCGGCATAGACAAAGACGGATTGTCGGGGATTAAATTTTAGCTACCTGCTACAATTTAGTACAGTCCGATCGCACAAAGTTTTTTTAAAAGTACACCTCATCTATACCGAAAATGCATAATATAAAAATATTGAATATAAGCACCAGTACTACATTTATTTGCGATTTGCATACCTAATGAGCTTTTATTACTCTCTTTCATTTCTAAACAGACTACAACAATAAATATTGTTGTCCTCCTCTCCATGCAAGTTCGACAGCAGCAATATGATAATATTTACACTGCCAACACAGCAACAGTTTTCATTGTTCAATCTTGATGTTCATCATGTGTAGATTTCAATTTTTTATTGCTATAGGCGGCATTGCTGTTTTTTCCGTATTGTTCCACATACGAGTAGTGTTTACAATGTGCTCTTTCCATTCATGTTTCCATTTATTTTCTTCATATTATAAACTCTATCAATTAAAATTACTGCAAGCCCTTCTAGGATAGCTTTTTCAAGTGGTGCATATTTTCTTGCTTGGAAAACTGGACAAATTCAAGCCATATCGATTCTCATTATTTTCAGACAAAAGTATAAAACATAAATATGAATGTATCATCATAAAGATTCATACACAAACGCTTACAAAAATTTAATTTTAGAGCTTGTACTTATAAGTTCGTTGTATTTTTGGTTTTGCCCTTACTAGCTTCATCTCTCTTACACATATCAGGGCGACTGACTTCTCTCTCTGGCTCAGCTCACAGTTTTACAACGTCTATGATGGCACCTATATCTCTCGGCGTCGTAATGTGTCTCAATCTCGAAATTTTTATTAGAGAAATTTTTCTGTATTACTTTCCGTTTAAAAGTTATCAGTAACATTGTCCCAAAGAGTCACAAAAGAAATACCACCTAAAAATCACATTAGCGGTNTATCTCTCGGCGTCGTAATGTGTCTCAATCTCGAAATTTTTATTAGAGAAATTTTTCTGTATTACTTTCCGTTTAAAAATTTATCAGTAACATTGTCCTAAAGAGTCACAAAAGAAGTACCACCTAAAAATCACATTAACGGTGGAAGGATCAAGTAGTCGTTGGAAAATAATTGAATGTTCGTTGTTTAAAGTCCATAAATGTCATTAAGAATAAATAAAAGGATTAAACTCGATCATTCTTTAAAACAGTTAAACAAAAGTGATGATAACAATAATTAAACTTAAAAAATTAGCAAACGCTTTCATACTATTCATATTACAATCTATTCTCTATATGACCTCTCATTTTAAGACACATATCCAATCTTCGCCTGACTTCTTTGTGGGTTGCGTTTATTAACATTTCGCCGTTTAACTCATTACAAGCGTTTGTGATTTTTTCTTTCAAATGATTAATATCTCGCGAAGGTGTTTTGTAAACCTTATTTTTTAAAACCCTCCATAAAAAAAATCGAGGGGTGTTAGATCTGGTGACTTTCCGGGCCACAGAATAAGTCCATTAAGCCCAATCCATTTTTCTGGGAAAGTGTTATCTAAATATTGCTGCACAATCCTGGCCTTGTGGGGTGGAGCCCCGTCGTGCTGAAGCCATAGGTTTCTCCTTAGCTGTAAAGGCACATTCTCCAGAAGTACAAGAAGTTCTTCTTGTAGGAAATTTAGTTAACTCACGCTGTTCAATGTATGTCCATAAAAATAAGGCCCAATTAAATGCCTACTGATGATGCCGCACCATACGTTTACTCCATAATGGCCTTGGTATTGGACTAGATTTGCAGTGTGGGAATTTTCAATGGACCAGTAGTGTTTGTTGCGCCTGTTTGGCAAATCATTACTGACAAACCGACTTTCGTCCGTCCAAAGGACGTGCCGAAAAAGGTTATGATCATAGAAAATATAGTACTAACGTAGAATGAAATGTCCCTAATATTGCCAATAAACCGCGAAACAGCGCCACGTAATGTTTTGTAAGCTTACTTACTTACTTAGCTCCTAATGAGTAGGCAACACTTTATACTTTGTGAACTGATTACAGGGCCATCTATCGTATGCAAACGACTTCTCACTTATATCCTCTATATATTATTTAAAAAATTTTAAAAGTCAACCCTTATACAAATAGGAATAGTCAAGTGTCAATACTTTTGAGAACAGATTATTTAGTTAAACAGAAAATGTAGCGAAAAACTAATATTCAGTACTTTTCTAATTCACTTCTGCTTTGATAACGAAACTAGAGGTTTCAGAAACGTCATAGTGTTATTGTGATGTGTATTTGTTTTTCCAGTGCGTAACCAGACTTATACATGTAGATGTATGTCTCTGGCATCTCACTATTAGGCAAAAGTTTTCAGTATTGACACTTGACTGTCCCTATCGGTACAAGGGTTTATTTTTCCAGTTTTTTTTTCTTCAAACTATGGCAAAATATCCAAATTATAACATTTATAATGCCACAAATAAATACAGACAATTTCTTATTTATTATTTTATTATATTATAGTATTTTTCAAATTTTGACATTTGCCAAGATATACTTAGTAAATGGTTTCGATAAGGAAATAAAACATTTTTTAATAATTTTAAGTTTATTTTGTATCTACAAGAAATCCTAATTGATTTATACAGAATGTTGTTATGCATGTACTATTAAAACAATTTCTTGTTATGTATTTAATTGTAGGTAAAAACGACAACGATTTAATTCATTTGCTTCATAAACTTGATAAGTTGGTAAGTAAGCTGTAAAAATATAAAAATTATGCATGAACTGTTATAATAATCTCACGGAGATAGGTATACACCTAACCGAATATTTGTACAATATTGGGTTAAATTCAATAGTTCATATAGTTTGGAACTTTCAAACCTTAATATTAACAGTATATTTTCTATGTCTCAAACTGAATAAAGAAACCAATTCACCACCATTAAAAATTTTGTAAGCATCTAAGTATCAAAGGTTTTATAAAATATTAGTTGGAGTTTATCATCATACACATAATTATTTTTATCTATATTTAACTTAAATAATATGTAATTTCAAACATGCACATTTTATGTGGACTGTTTCTAATCGATTAATACAGGTAACATGAGTATGAGTGTTCCACATAATGTTGGTAAAGATATAGGTTTGGTTTTTAATAAAATATAACTTAAAACTTACACATCGTATTCCCAGTATAATATAATAACAAATAGAAAACTCTTAAGCACTAAATAATTATAAACACAATTCTTGCAATACTATAATTTACAATTTTCAGAGGATAACCTAAGAAACCAAAGACAGATTTATATTCTGTGCCAAAGGTAACGAAAGCCAAACTTCAAATACGTGCAAAATCCAAACTGCATTACCAACCAACCCAAAATGACAGGGTTAGCATTCTCTGCGCCATCTTTTATTTTGGAAGCTAACTAACATGTGACGCCGCCATGACAGTTTCATTATTCATATGTTAGATTTCATTCTACGTTAGTACTATATTTTCTATGGTTATGATCAACAGTTTCTACATTCACTACAATTTGAGCATTAAAATAAAGTCTGTTTTCAATGTGACGCTCAGGCAAATACTCCAAATTATGAATTTTGTAGTCATGATACCTATTGGTCTTTAAAATCCGTTTAACGGCTGATTTATCCAAATTCAATTCCCGGCTAGCCTGTCGCACAGAATTTCATGGATTTTATTCGAAATACTTTAACAGTCTAGCTGTATTAACATTGTTTCTTACCCTTCGGTCGATTATTTGATTTTTCCGAACAGAAAATGCATCTTCATTTCGTCGCAAGGTCGCCTCCAATCTTGTAAAGGTTCTATGATCAGGAATGAGGCGCTCTGGATACCTTTCTCGATATAACTCTACATCATTTTCTAACCCTTAGCTTGCTAAGTTTGAGAAATTACCAAGAACTCAAATGTATCTTGTTTCACTGGTTTTTATACGTTTTATACCCATTCCCTTTTACTAATTTCCATGTTCATTTGCCCTGTAGCATCCAATCAATTACCCCAAAGCCGAAGATCGATTAAGGAAGCGCTTGTGCTAATATTAACGCAAATTCCCGCCCACCCGCTGCCAACCACCTTCAGATTTAAAGTTCGGTGTCGTTTCGCATCGCTTCTTCTTCAGTCAAGTGCTTGACTTAATAATAACCTTTTGTTGCAGTTTACGTGTTCGTTGGGGAGCACATAGCGCTGATCGACTTCATAAAATGCCTGCAGAAGCGGAAGCTGCTCGATACCGGCGACTACGTGGTGATATCAGTGGACGATGAGATCTACGACCCCAACAGGAGGATTAAGATCATCAGGAGAGGTGAATAATGTACGGGGTGTTTCACAGGATGTGTAATCCATCATGGGGCTCACTAAAAGCTGTCCCTAATGTCTAATAAATACGGTGTTCCTATAAGAGTGGTACATCGTATTTCTTATAATTTACAAGAAACAGATAAAAACTCGCCTGAATATTGCACAAATATGCACTGATTCCTTGGCGATATTATTTATCGTGCAGGGNCGGTGTTCCTATAAGAGTGGTACATCGTATTTCTTATAATTTACAAGAAACAGATAAAAACTCGCCTGAATATTGCACAAATATGCACTGATTCCTTGGCGATATTATCTATCGTCCAGGGTCAGTAAATAAAAGAAAATTTGCCGCGTATAGCTAACCAGATAAGAAATAATAGGCCAGGAAATAAGCTGCGAGCTGCGATATGGCCTTTCGCGACTTTTTGTTTCGGCAAGCTGAATTTATCACTACAGATGCTAAATATTATGCACAATAACATATTAGTTTCCACAGTCATAAAAATGGGGGGAAGATTGTTTACAGGGTGGTTAATTGTATAATTTTTACGTAAATTCACGTTTTTCGCTTATCACTTTTTCCGTTCATTTCCACGAGAAAACAGTCAAGTATTTTTTTTTCGTCTTCAAAAGACCTACGAAACTAGCTCTCGAGCGTTAAAAAATATTGATTAGATCAAAAGTTATAAACAAAAGAAGTTTATTTATGACTTTTGAGTTAAACATTTATAAACTGCGTTATTATTACCAGAACGTTTTGGCATCGCATCCTCTCATTCCTCATCACTGTCTAATAACTCACACGAAATCTGGAATCGGTAAGTTGAATAGTTTACAAGTTATGGC